AGCGCGCACCTGCGCGTTCACGATGCTACGGAAGCCGGCAGACCAAACCAGATGAAAGTGCGCATTCAGCGTCTGCTCTGCCGATAATGCAAGCGTAGAAGAAGAAATGTGCTGTTTACCTGTGCAAAGAAAGAAACAACGAAGGAAAAATGTCTGAGGACTTCAGTGTTGAGGAAGAGCAGGAGTTCTTTGCTGAGCTGAATGCGCACTTTCATCTGGTTTGGTCTGCCGCGGTTTCCTTAGCGTCGTGAACTCGCAGGCGCGCGCTTTCAGGAAATCCTATACACTACTGTTTATGCTCTAAAAACATTCTAAATGACTTCGTTTCGAGTATATTCTGGATGCTACCCACTCAGGACACTTGGAATACATTGGACGAGCAGTATGGAGGAATATTGACACGTTTTTGTGGACTTTTATGGACCTTTCTGTCTTGGGCACCATAGACCTCCATTATTTGAATGTCAGCAGACAGCAAGAAGCCTCCCAGATCTCCAGATGCATTTGAGATATCAAAAAAGTACTCCAGAGTGTTGTTCAGCATGGGGGTGAGTAGAAAATGAAGGCTAATCATGTTTTGGGTGTACTATTCCTTTAAGATTACAACCTACAATAATCTGTGTTAGTGTCTGAAAGGCTACCGTATATGTTTTTTCCAAATCAAATTCAGGAAAAATTCAGAATTACAACAAAAAACAAAAGAAAAAAACACTATTTATAGAAATTGTTAAAGTAATCTGAAAGTTTCAACCAGGGATTAGAAAAAAATGATTAATGGATGAAAGAAAATGAGTTGTTATATAGAACCCAAATAAACTAATTTTGACATTGAGAGAATAAAGAAAAGAAGCCTAAATTCTGGGATTTCCGAGTGTAGACATGCAGCTGCCACTTTAGCTGTATGCAAAGTCACAGATTGTGTTGTTTGATGGAGTATACTAAGTGGAATCATTATAAATCTGTGAGGTAAATAAGGACGAGGGGCACGCCTGTGTCTCAGTCACACAGCAGCAGGTTTGGCATCGATGTCCCTCCTGGCATAAGGTTGGATGGTGTGCCAGGTCCTGATAAGGACACCGCTTGGCACAGCAAATCAGACTGTGGCTGGGATGTTGTTTGAGTAACAGCATTAAAAATACAGGAGTCTATTCTACCATCATGCTTTTATTTGATGTTCTGAGAACATGAAGCGAATGAACACAAACGTGAAGTACATACTGAATGTTTAGCTTTAAAACCGACCAAGGCTAAAACTAAACAGCGCTTCAGCAAAATGTCAGCCCTGCTGAGCTGTTTGATTAGGTGGAAAAGCGGCTCCTTATCAAAGGTGGATTACACCCCGAGATACAAGATCAGGATTTCCTCTGGGAGAGGATGAAGGAACACACAAAGGGTCATGCAGATCAATGAAAAAGGTCAGCCAATCATTTCACTACAGAGGATAATTCACCTTGGAAAACGCTTTCATGTTAAGGCTTACCTCAACAGAAATGCACGTTAGAGGAATTCAATGTGGAGGAATCTGCTGACATGAAGTAATGACGACCAGAGAAAGTGTAAGAACGGCTCGGCTGATTTATGCATCAGATTTCATTCACATGTTTGACAGGCTGATGCTGTAGGAGTCTGACTGGCATGCAGTTCGGATTAAAAATTCTGAATTTAACCCTCAGACAGATCTGGTCCACATTTACAAACATCAAATTCTTCCGGCGCATAATAAATAGATGCCTGTCTGCTAAATCACACCAAGATCTTGACAATTCCTCCATGCTTGGAGGAAGTGTCATCAAATCAATGACGCATGAGGAGGACAACAACCACTCAACTCAGTGACACATCCAGAGATCAACATTCACGGCCGAAGATCTGAAATGTGTTCAACCATCTTTCTCTTACTGTGATAAAGGAAGGAGAAAATGCAAAAATCACAAAATACTTTAAAAGACAACAGATATTTTCAATCACAGAGGTTTGATTATTGAAAAAAAACAAACAAAAAAAATCAAGTTTTTAAGCAAATATTTTTTTTTTTCCCTGAAATTCTTTTTATTTTCTGAATTCCACAAAGTAGTTATTATTTCCACCATTATCTTTAATCGTTTGAAACACATGTAAAATAAGAAAAAAAATCAGATTTGATATAAAATCTCCATGACAAGAATTGCGGTAACCACTTTACTATTAAAGGACATTCAAAGTTTATGTAAAATGTTCTTAAAGATCCTCTTTTTAAGTCATAAGGTTATTTTAAAAAAAGATGACATAATTTTAACAGATGGTACAAAAACCTGTAGAAAAAGACTCCAAAAAGTTAAGGGCATACCCTTGAATGTTAGGTTTTTCTATCAGCCCCACTATTCTGTTTGTTGCGGCCCAACTCAGGGTTTATACAGGAATGAGTAGCTCAAATCTAATGATTATTAACGCTCTTTTAATGCTCTTAGAAATAATTTTAATGCCATCAATAAGTATCCATGGCTCTAATACATATTATAATAATTATATATACTGACAAGAGTTAGAATATATTGAACGAAAGTTGAATATTTTTAATAATGTTCGAATATTTTGAATGATGTTCTGAGTAAATTGAATTAAGCCTGAATATTTTGAATAAAAAATTAATATTTTGAATGATTTCCTGAGAATATGGAATGGAACTTGGATATTTTGAATGATTTCCTGAGAATATGGAATGAAATCTTGGAATATATGGAATCAAAGTTGCCCTAAAAGAATCATGGGTAATGTAGTTTAAAAAAAAAAGAATTAATTTGTGTTCATTTAGAATCAATCATTAATTAACCTAATCAGTGTATAAATAAAAACATTGTTAAATAACATCCACTCAAAATCCCATTTTTTCCCTCACTGTAGATTTAGGCGATCTGATTTGGCAATTTAAGGTGGTCGTTTAAGTGAACAGACTTGGAGATGTCTGCATTTCGGCCTTTGGAAATGGATAACAGACCAGGGCAACTAGAAGGAGTTGGGAAGAACAGGGTGGTTGAATGAAAGTTGAATATTTTGAATGATTTCCTGAGAATATGGAATGAAAGTGGAATATATTGAATGAATTCTGTCCTCTTTGTGTCTGAGCTTCTCTGCTCCCCCCACCCTGTTTTTCACCCTTCGTCACCTTTACTGTCGACATGCTGCAGCCATGTCCCCGTTTCCTCATATTCCAGCAACTTTTGTTGAAATTTGCATTTTCCCCTACTCTAGCTTTTTCTCCGCCTTGAGCTTCTTTTCTGATCATTCGGCTTTACATTCCACCGGAAGCAGTTCCACGCAAACATGCGGAACCAGTTATATCTGATATATTTGACAAAATAGTTTTTAGAAACTTTTTTTTTCCTTTTTAAATAAAGCATTTTAAATGCCATGATAATCACTTTTAATTAATTTTGATGCTAATTAAGGCTTTATTTAAAAAAAATAAAATTTTATGACTTTTAATGACCCGCGGAAACCCTATAACTAAGAAAAAAATTCAACTTATGGAAGCAGAATCATCCGTTTCCATTCCATATTTCAGCTGCTAATAGCGTCAGCCAGGCCCTTTGTATGAATAAAAGAAGAAAGATCAGTGCATAGTAAACACTGCTGTGCTAAAGCACGATCATTCCAACATAAATAATCAATAATCAAATGATTAAAATGGAATATGGTTGATTGAAGTGGCTGCTATATAAGACTAAATATTGTGGTTGTTAGAAATAAAAAAAAACAATATAGGATTTAATTATAGGACTCCTCTGCAATAGCTGATAACAATGGTGGAGTAGGTGTTGGATAATAAAGTTATGATCAAGACATTAAGACAGAGTCGGTGTGAAACACTAGCCTGACGTAGTCCGACTCAATTCTAGTCAGAATATGAGTCTGATACTGCTCCATAGAGCTGTGATTATGGGGTGTGTTTCGAACGAACCAGGAAAAAAAATGCCTCTGCACTCAATTGGATAGACCTACAACCAATAAGAGCGATGGAGTGCGTGACGTATGTTAAGCGAGGCATAGTTGTTGTCCACAAAAATCAAAGCGTGCAGTTTCACGCCTAGAATAAGAAGATGAGACTTGATCGCGTTTCTCTGTTCCTCTTTTAAAATTAATTTGCTGTCGATATCTTCTAGAACAGACCTAATAGCAGAATCTACTCACGCAAACTCTCCAGCGGCAGCCATTATTGTTGTCACCCAAGCGCGCTTTGGTCACGTGGTTGATTACGTTACTCTTGATCATCTGTCCATCATCGTAAAAAGCCCGCCATGACAATTTGATTGGATCGCCTGACAGTGGGCGATAATACTCGCGCTACTATGGAGCAGAGCCAGACCGAACTTCCCCGAACTCAAACCTTGTGGGCGGGACTAAGTTCGGACTGGCACCCAGGCTAGTGAAACACAGAGTAAAAAAATTAATTAATAAATAAATAGAAAAATAAAGTTTTTGGGGCTGAGAAAGTTGATATTGTGACCATTAAAAAGTTTTGATTTTGTGAGATAATTGGTATACCAATAGATGCGCCATGTCCAGAGTTGGGACGGTAACTACAGAAGCAATGCTGGGATGTTTGGGAACAAAGACAGAACTTATGAAGGCAAAATCATTATTTTTTATTTTACATGTTAGCCTTTAGCGCAGCTCTCTAGCAGTCTAAGTTATTGCATGGTCCTGCTTGTTTCTCTGTTTTTCTAAATGCAGAACAGCAGCTGATGGAATCCAAAAAGAAAAGGCTCTTGGAATCTTGGTAAACAGATGAAGCTCATAATCTAATTTCAAGGTTGTAATCAGATGTTTCTGTTTGTGAGAGATAGTGAAAGGTTTTAAGAATGATGGATGTTTGTAATTAGAACCTCTTTCATTATCATCAAACACTATAAAATGACAAAGCTTTGATTAATGGGTTCCTACAAATTCGCATAAAAGGGTTATACTGGATGATACATGAGCAATAAAGTTAATAAAACAACCGAATGTGGTTTTGAGATTACCTTCTGTAGGAAGATGACAATTCTTTTGACCATTTCGGATCGCTGTTCCTCCAGGGTGAAGAGAGTGCGAGGAGTGCGGATAAAGACCTTTGTTTTGCCGTAGGCCACGTCATGGTCAAACTTGCAGCCCTGCAGAAGCTTCTTCACAGCATCTTTGTCTGAGGAGAGGTCGTGGTTGGGCCACGTATACTCTGAGATCATCTTGTATCTAAAGAAACCCAAAATCATAACATAAACAGCTCAATCCATGTTTAAGTCTAAATTATTGTAAATCCTTTATTAAATTCCAATTAATCAGTGAAATGGTCTAGGTATCTTCATTTCTACTGATTTGACCTTTCATTAATTATCCAGAAATCCTTTAAGGTTAAATTTTTAGCTTCTATGACAAACTGATTCCTCCAAAATGTGTATAGTGTGGAGAAAATAACCTGAAATCAATTAACCTGATATTTGTAAAGATGACTGTTTAATGAAGAAACTTTTAAGTGGAACTCCTGCAAATATTCTTCACTTCAAAAATGTAATTTATTTTGTTCACGCTTCATTTTAAGATACATCATGGAGGAAGTTATCCTTCTATGTATTGTAGTATGCAGCTAGTCTGCAGCACTGCACATGGGGCTGAGACATGGGCGGTTCTAGACAGGGGCCAACGGGGGCCAGCGCCTCTGTAGATCATATCCTGGCCCCCGTTATGGCCCCTGTATTGAATACATAATACTCTAATGATTCTAATGATGATATGCCCTGGAACAGACATGGTTACTGATATGTCCTTTGGATCTATTTCATTTTTTTCTTTACAAATTCTGTTTGAGCAATTATTTAAAACAAGGAGGTGATAGCTTTAGTGGCCTTGAGATAGGAGCCCAGTTTTTATCTGCTTAATGTTTTTTCCAAAAAAAAAAAAATAATAAATAAAATCTAATTTTTACAGCTGAATTTATCTGTTTTTTCTGGAGTTCTAATTCAGAATTTATAAAAAAAAAAACTAAATTAAGTCAAAAATATGTAAAATTCCTAAATTATGAATATCTATTGATCTAATAAGACAGAATTTTATTGAAACCTAATTGAATAGAAATTTCACTTCATGCAGCTATCTTAAAGGAATAGTACACCCAAAACATGATTAGCCTTCATTTTCTACTCACCCCCATGCTGAACAACACTCTGGAGTACTTTTTTGATATCTCAAATGCATCTGGAGATCTGGGAGGCTTCTTGCTGTCTGCTGACATTCAAATAATGGAGGTCTATGGTGCCAGAGGCAGAAAGGTCCATAAAAGTCCACAAAAAACGTGTCAATATTCCTCCATACTGCTCGTCCAATGTATTTCAAGTGTCCTGAGTGGGTAGCATCCAGAATTTACTCGAAACGAAGTTATTTAGAACGTTTTTAGAGCATAAACAGTAGTGTATAGGATTTCCTGAAAGCGCGTTCACGACGCTACGGAAACCGCGGCAGACCAAACCAGATGAAAGTGCGCATTCAGCTCGGCAAAGAACTCATGCTCTTCCTCAACACTGAAGTCCTCATACATTTTTCTTTCGTTGTTTCTTTCTTTGCACAGGTAAACAGCACATTTCTTCTTCTACGCTTGCATTATTGGCAGAGCAGACGCTGAATGCGCACTTTCATCTGGTTTGGTCTGCCGGCTTCCGTAGCGTCATGAACGCGCAGGTGCGCGCTTTCAGGAAATCCTATACACTACTGTTTATGCTCTAAAAACATTCTAAATGACTTCGTTTCAAGTAAATTATGGACGCTACCCACTCAGGACACTTGGAATACATTGGACGAGCAGTATGGAGGAATATTGACACGCTTTTTGTGGACTTTTATGGACCTTTCTGCCTCGGGCACCATAGACCTCCATTATTCGAATGTCAGCAGACAGCAAGAAGCCTCCCAGATCTCCAGATGCATTTGAGATATCAAAAAAGTACTCCAGAGTGTTGTTCAGCATGGGGGTGAGTAGCAAAATGAAGGGTAATCATGTTTTGGGTGTACTATTCCTTTAATATATTTAAATCGCTAACCCTGTTTTTTTTATTTCATGCTTTTCTGGACCCCCATGAAAACAACATTGGCCCCCTCCTGGCCCCCTGGTACTTTGGTCTAGAACCGCCACTGGGCTGAGACTATTACCTGGCTACACTGATGCACACATCATAACCACACTGCTACTGTTGGTTGGAAAATTTAAGGTAGACACGATTTCTTGACTATGCTCACGCACAGAGCTGTAATACAGGTGCTGGTCATAAAATTAGAATATCATGAAAAAGTAGATTGATTTCAGTAATTCCATTTAAAAAGTGAAACTTGTATATTATATTCATACATTACATACAAACTCATATATTTCAGATGTTTATTTTGTTTAATTTTGATGATTACAAATGACAACAAATGAAAATCTCAAATTCATCATATCAGAAAATTAGAATATTACTGAAGACCAATAAAAACAAAGGATTTATAGAAATGTTGGCCAACTGAAAAGTATGAAGATGAAAAGTATGAGCATGTACAGCACTCAGTATTTAGTTGGGCCTCCTTTGGCCTGTATTACTGCAGCAATGCGGCGTGGCATGGAGTCGATCAGTCTGTGGCACTGCTCAGGTGTTATGATAGCCCAGGTTGCTCTAATAGTGGCTTTTAGCTCTTCTGAATTGTTGGGTCTGGTGTATTGCATCTTCTTCTTCACAATACCCCATAGATTTTCTATGGGGTTAAGGTCAGGAGAGTTTGCTGGCCAATTAAGAACAGGGATACCATGGTCCTTCAACCAGGTACTGGTAGCTTTGGCACTGTGTGCAGGTGCCAAGTCCTGTTGGAAAATGAAATCTGCATCTCCAAAAAGTTGGTCAGCTGCAGGAAGCATGAAGTGCTCTAAAACTTCCTGGTATGTGGCTGCGTTGACCCTGGACCTCAGAAAACACAATGGACCAACACCAGCAGATGACATGGCACCCCAAACCATCACTGACTGTGGAAACTTTACACTGGACTTCAAGCAACGTGGATGAAGTGCCTCTCTTCTTTTCCTCCAGACTCTGGGACCTTGATTTCCAAAGGAAATGCAAAATTTACTTTCATCAGAGAACATGACTTTGGACCACTCACCAGCAGTCCAGTCCTGTTTCTCTTTAGCCCAGGCAAGACGCTTCTGACGCTGTCTGTGGTTCAAGAGTGGCTTGACACAAGGAATGCGACAGCAGAAACCCATGTCTTTCATACGTCTGTGTGTGGTGGTTCTTGAAGCACTCACTCCAGCTGCAGTCCACTCTTTGAGAATCTCCCCCACATTTTTGAATGGGTTTTGTTTCACAATCCTCTCCAGGGTGCGGTTATCTCTCTTGCTTGTACACTTTTTTCGACCACATCTTTTCCTTCCCTTCGCCTCTCTATTAATGTGCTTGGACACTGAGCTCTGTGAACAGCCAGCCTCTTTAGCGATGACCTTTTGTGTCTTGCCCTCCTTGTGCAAGGTGTCGATGGTCGTCTTTTGGACAACTGTCAAGTCAGCAGTCTTCCCCATGATTGTGTAGCCTATAGAACTAGACTGAAAGACCATTTAAAGGCTTTTGCAGGTGGTTTGAGTTAATTAGCTGATTAGAGTGTGGCACCAGGGGCCATCAATTTTGAACCTTTTCACAATATTCTAATTTTCTGATATGATGAATTTGAGATTTTCATTTGTTGTCATTTGTAATCATCAAAATTAAACAAAATAAACATCTGAAATATATGAGTTTGTATGTAATGTATGAATATAATATACAAGTTTCACTTTTTAAATGGAATTACTGAAATCAATCTACTTTTTCATGATATTCTAATTTTATGACCAGCACCTGTATGTGATTCAGATGGGTGCTGTTTATTTTAAAGATGCAGTTTTAATCTGTATTCAGACAGGAACAGGGAAACCAGTGATGACGGGAGCTGAGGTATGTTGCCATGAGTGTTTCTACCCACTGAATGTAACCGCTGTTAAAAAAAATCAGGGGATATCATTGTATTCATCTGAATAATAACTGCCTCATCAAGGCCAACGCTCAGTCTCTTAGTGTTTCTATTTTGTGGTGTAAATTGTGAGTCAGCTTTAGATTGAAACAACCTTCAGGGACATTTAAGGTTTTCTGTGGAGGTTTGAGCGATCGACGTGTCCCTTTTTTTCTCTTGCTGCACCTTAAAAGGATCTCATTGCGGATAAACTGTATAGCTTTATTGCAATTTAATTCAAATTCAGTTCTAATTTAATTTCCATAACACGTTTTATGACAGATTTGCTTTATTTTATTATTTTTTTGTGATGTTTGTTCTGGTTATTTGAGAACGATTAACCATGTCGTCTTTAATATGGCTAAAAAGTTTTGTTTTGTTTGAAAAGCATTTTATTTAATTTTTTTGAAGGTGTGGGGGATTGGGGTGCGTCAACCCAGTTGAGACACAGAAGGGGTTGCTAAAAAAAGTTTGGGATCTTGGCTTCCTTTCGGTAATTTCCCTTCGGTAATTATTTATTTATTTTTTTACATAATAAATCTATAGAGGTTATATTTGGGCTGTGGATCTTTGCAGCGTCCACTGGCTTCTTCTCTGTTTAACGCTCTCCTTAATCAGCCTAACAGTTTAGTTGGCTATCATCTCTAGGTCGTTTTGCAGTTCTTTAAAAAATCTTTCAGATTTTATAACATTAAAACTGTTTTATTCTCTACATTCTCACTTACATGCATTGTTTTGTTGTTACATTCAAAAAGCTGTTTCTTCCCCAAGTTCTTCCCCCCCCCCCTGCGATGAACTGGTATAAAACCTGGTATTTTATTCTCTGTCATCTTCAGATTTTTCCAAATAACTTTTTTAGTCAATAGTTTTATAGGATGCTAAAAAAAAATTTAGTTTGTTAAAATGTTATAGAAATAAAATCATTCTATTGTTAATTATATCAGTTGCATCAGTTGTATCAGTCTAAGGTTTATCGACAATGGAGAACATCTATCTTTGCAGCAGAAGCAGCAGATCTTAGAAAGCTCAAATTCCTTCTTAGATTTGTAAGTCAGTTTAAATTGGGATGCAAACATGCTAGTAATAGCATCAGCCTGGGACTCTGTATGAATAAAAGTAGAAAGATCAGTTCACGGTATTAAACACCGCTGTACTTAAACACAATCATTCCAACGTAAAAAAAAAAAAAT